ATAAAAATTATATCAAGACATAAGAATCTTCTTTTAAAAAGATATTATTTAGTAGTATAATCTTTAATTTTTAATTAATACTGTTTTTTGATATTAGAAAATAAGTATTAAGATATATTCAGCCTTTTAAATTGAATAATAAAATTTAATATAATGAATATTAAATTTCTTATCTTTTATTTTAAATAATATAATTAAATTCAGGTATTACAGATACAGTTAAAATCATTAAATATTTTTTTAAAATCAAGAAATATTGAATAATTAATTAATATATATCTTTCATTTTTATATATAATTAAATATAGTTATAAAATATGTTTTTAAAGTAATTAATAATATAGAATATATACACTTAAAAAATAAATAATAATTATAATTTATAATTATCTTTTTCTAAATCTATAAGATAAATTAATCAAGATTTACTTGATTATTTTTAAACTTATTAAGATTAAGTAGTTATTTAGAGAGTATAAAAATAAAATAATATTAATTAATTAGTATACTTATTTCTTTAAGAATATTCTTAAATTTTCAATAATAAATTTAGAATTACTGGTAATAAGTATAACTAATTATATTATATTAATATATTTAATTATAGTTTAATCTTTTTTTAAATGATAATCTTTCTTTTAATATATATCTTAATAAGCTAATTATTAATTTTATTAATTTATTAGCTCTAATATTTAAACAGAATATTCTTAGATATAATATCATATTACAAGTAGTTTTATTTACAGTATATTTCTATAATGAAAATAGAGATTTATTTATAATAATTATATTATTTTCAAGTATATTTAAAAATATATTAAATTCATTTATTTAACTTATTTAAATTATATAAAGATAACAGGATTATAAATATTTTAAAGTAATTCTTTATTTTAAGAAAGAGTTATATAGTATCAAGATACTAGCTAATAAAATAATAAGATAAAGAATTTAAATAAGCAAGTTTAATCAAGATAACTTATATTTAGATAGATTTTTAATTAAGCTATATATATATATATTAATAAATAAGATATAGCTTAAGGCTATGAACAGGATTACATGGATAAAATTTTTTTAACTGTATATAGAGTCACATGCAATACTTAGCAAGGTTGTGTCCTAGTCACACCGTGACAAATATTATAGATTATTATAATTAAAAAAACAAATTTACTGTAGATTATAATAATAATATCTCTCTAACTGAGGATAGTTAGATCTAAATAAAGAGATAATATAATAGCAGCTCTCCTGAGTATTGTATAATACTTATATTATTTTATTAATTTTATTTACTTTACTATTACTAATATTATTTTTTAGCAAATATCTATAATACTTTCTGTTTTCCTTTTTTTCCCTCTTCACACTAAAAGTTCTAGAGTAGTTAGCACCAATATGACTTTATTTTCTGTTAAACGGCCGTCTCATTCTTTAAATAATATCTTATTTATTATCTTAGTTATAGAGTAAACCATGATTTATAGATTTATAAAGATGATATAAATATTCTAGACTTTATTTATCAAAATAAAAAATATTCTTAGTCTTAGTATTTAAGTTTGATATTAATATTTTACTATTTCATGTAATGAGGATATTGCTTTTCTTCAATTTAAAAAGATACATATAACTACTTTATCAGCTTCTTTTTTTATATATGTAGTAGAGGTTCTGGTCTTCTGCGGTAATCTGTATTACATACAGACTGCCCTGCCTTCTTACTGGAGGTTATCCCCGCGTTTCTTCCGTATATGTATATCAGTCTTTAGTATATAGCTATGTTGACGGGTCCTCCTCTCTGATGATCATCATACTACTTCACATTCATCGTCTTCCTTGCTACGCTGCCACAGCTATCGAGCATAAAAAGTAGGCACTCATTCCAGAAGGGCGCATAAACAACCCAGGCTGGAGATATAAGTGTGACCTGGGCCAATTTGGTTATAGTGGTTGTCTAGTACTCCGCATACAGCGAAGAACTGCCATATTGGAAGGGTATTCGCGTGGTCGTAACAACAAGCCACGCGATGCGGGCTGGTCTGCGGCAATTGCCAAATAGGCTTTCTATGCCGAATCAGGAGTGAACCCGAGTCAGTTGATGAAACACACAGACAAAAATAAGAAGAGAAAGAGAGGGGAATAAAGAAACAGTGATCGCTGATTGACCAATGTGCAAGTCAGGTTAAATCCATATTCTATAAGATGCCTGAACGTGTCAAATGCTCACAGCAGATAAATGATGGCACCTGCGCGATATGCTAGATAGTTAGGGAGTAGATAATGTCAAGTAAATAATGTATGTAAGGGTGAGCATTGAGCAACGATCTGAGCCAATGCATGACACACAATGATACTTTGTATGCACAGAGTATTTACTGTCTGTTGCATACTGAAGAAAGGGTGCCCAGTCTGACTTGTCAGGCAACAACAGAAACTGTGGGGCTCAAGTTCAATTATGATTCATCTGCTGGGCTATCAGGCTGTGATGCAGCGACAGATGATCTGACTCTTACCTATCTTTCAGCCTAACATGCCGGGGAAAGGCTGCAAGCCACAGCAGCCATTGGTGGGTACACCGCCAAACGGGGTTATCGCCCCTCAATGGATACCACACAAACCGCCAACAGCCTTTGCCCTCCACCCCCCTTCTATTATTACACCGTTATCCAGTAGGTACTCGACCCCGCTTTCCTGTAGCAGTTGTCGTCATGTGGTAGATCACTTACCCAACCCATCCATCATATGGCCTTCCCACCACATCGTATCATAGAACGGAAGGCCGGTCCTTCTGATTCATATTTGACTTGTAATTGCTCAAGCGCTAGGTCACCCGCTTCTACTATTACATTTGATCTTCTATCACCTATCCGGAAATAGGCGGTTTGGATTAGACGCTGGCACGGACAACTTGGTTTCTCTTTTACTGCCACGCGCCAACCCCGCATGAACAGTGTTGTTGTATTCTCACATCACTAGTACCTAGTTCCAAACCCTGCTATCGGCACGTTGACTCATACACACCAATTTTTCGTTTTATTTGTCTGTTATGAGAACAACTCACTTCCTAATAGGAGGGATTGCTTTTCTTACTCTAAGAATACCCCTTCTTTCACAGATTTCTGGTCGGGAGTACTGGGAGAACATAGATTACCCATAATCAATTATTAACACCAGCCTTCTCGGCCAGTGTGAGCCTTATCGCCGAGACCCAAGCCATATCCACTTAATTGCCACCAGACAAAGAGGCGGCCCTGACAAATCATTTGCACGTGTGTTTTGCCAGCATTATTGCCAAATCTCAGTTCCATTGACTTCCATTAACACCATCTCATCAGCGTACAAACACATTCTCGCCTTCAATCCGAAGACCACCTAGGACTGACCTCAGAAGTAGTGACCTTTGTGTTGTATTTATCTTCAGCTAGTCGTCCTACGAAGCATCACGCTCAAATCTCATCGTGACTCAATTCTAATCATCGAATTATTCCATGCGATGACCTCATTCACTGCTGCCTCTCTGCTCAGTCGAAGTGATAAGGTCAACATGAGTCGCCTGCCGTCTGTTTCCACTCTAATGTCCCCCCCAGAGTCCAAACCTCTTGAAAATTTCCATCCCAATACATCTTCACCGTATACAATGTCGCAGGATCCGTCCTATAGTCATGAAGTGAGACTTCCTCCTATCTCGAGTGATCGAAAGCGAACACAGTCAGAAATGGACTTGCCATCGCCACCTGTTACTCCTTATACAGGAAATAAAAAAAGGCGATCAAACACATCGGATCATATTGAGAAGGATGTCGTGGTCGTCTCCTCTAGGGACCCCGTTCTCTTCCCCCGCCACGAATCTCTTACTGATATTGCCACTGATGAGCCGTTGTTTGGATCCATTCTTCCCCCGACTGCGGAAGCGCTGGTTGACCAACATATAAACTCTCACATGGCAAGATTTGAAAATAAAATTAACAAGCCGACGCGCGACGAATATCTTCTAGCTCTGTCATGCGTACCGATTGTATCTGCTCAATTTAACCGCAATCCAGCAGCATGGGCCAGGGAAGAGCGAGAGACTTTAGAGCGTCAGTTGATCATGATGAACCGTTGTCGCCCTCGTGCATTGGAAGCGAGACTGAAAAAGATTGCACCAGCCCCAACAAAGAGGACAATTGCTGCCCAACCACGTGTGCAACGAACACCCAGGGTAAAGCGGACACCAAGGACCACGCCGAAACAGAAAATTCTCGACACATTTGACTCACCCCCGATGAGTGCCAAGCCGTCTCGCGCCATAGGCACAAACCGGGATGATACAGATTATAATTCCATCAAAGATTATTCTCCTTCAATAGAGACGCTTGGGGGCAATGCAAAGGCGTTGAAGGCAGACTGGAAGGGCCAAGTGTTAGATCTTAGCCATGATCCGGACCGACACTTGCTGAGCTCTGCTGAGCTCAATCTTGCTGCCACTCTAAGGCTTTCCTGTGCAACTTATCTGTGCAGCAAGCGCCGCATATTCGACTCCCGCGTGAAAGCTTTGAATGTTGGTAAGGAGTTTCGCAAGACCGATGCTCAACAGGCTTGCAAGATTGATGTGAATAAAGCAAGCAAGCTCTGGACTGCATATGAGCGTGTTGGTTGGTTCGATCCTGAACATTTCCGACAGTATCGAAAATAACGGGCACAAGACCAATTATATCAAATCGTGGACCCCAATGCCTGCTGTTTCTATATGATACCATACTCGATGATACCTTAGAGATGCGACCTTCACATTTCTGGATGTTCATCAGCCCACTTGCTTTTGCCGACTTACAATTTCCCCTCCCTCCAAATAGCCGCCGAGTATTGGCACGTTATTTACGTTTGTCACTGGGCATAGCTGGATTCTTTGCGATCAAGTGACAAGGCTGCATATGATGATGTTTTGTACTCCCCTTCTTTTTATCGTCGCTGCGCTAGGCCATTCAACATCGATGGCATTGATTTAAGATAGCCTTATCTGCCGTCATTGCCTTGTCTCATTGCTTCTCTTTTGTCTGGCGCTGCATTCCCCGAGTGATCGGGGAAATTGGCTCTAATAGGTTAGGTCTTCTGTCCGACAATATGTCACTCCTCTGACTATTGTACCGACGCCTTGCTATGGCAGACGTCAAGTTTTCTCTAGAGTGGTAGATTGTTGCTCAATTAAATGGTTTAGACCGATTTTGAAAGCAAGAAAGAACATACTGGTAGCGATCCATTGTCGAGTGGCATGAGAGCCTCCGGGCACTCTGGAAAGAATTTATGTTGGTAACAATCCAATTTGCTCCCTGCACCGGACGTCGGGAAGTCAAAGCCCGCCAACTATGCAATTCCGTCACCTGCTAAGTCTGCGCCACCATCACTTAGACCATCATCTCCCTACCTTGAATGTTAAACTCCCAGAGAGCCTCTTCTCCTGGTATTGCTACAATTTCTGTAATAATTGATCTCGAAGTTTGATGGATGATCTGAACAGCAATGTCTCATCCCGAAGCGACCCGTGCGGAGTCCTTGGACGAGCCAGAACATAGGGGGGATATTGATGATAAGAAGCCTAAAAATAGGAGACCAGCCAGTGAGGACCCATTCAATGCCCACCCTGCAATGAATCGTGATATCTTGGATCTGATCAATACCTCCAGATACTGCCTTCAGACAACAACGTTTAAAGGCCTGGCAGTAAGCTACAATCATCATGGCATATTGCAGCTTCCTGCTGACACGCATAGACCAATCTTGACTCCGAAGAGTGTGTTACCTCTTTTCTTTGTTATAGGTGTGATATTTGCTCCCATTGGCGGGCTTTTGCTATGGGCTAGTTCACAAGTATGGGTTACCTCCCCTACAAAATGCACATTTCCCCTTGACCAACAAGCAGCCGTTGTCAGGTACAAGAGATAGTCATAGACTACTCCGAATGTGCCGAAAAGGCGCCCACCTCTTATGCAGACCCGATATCAAATAAAGTTCAGACATCCTTCAAGTCTACAGGCGAACAATCCACCCCGACCTGGCAAAGGTTCAACGAAAGTGGAACTACTATATGTCGATTGATCTTCGATATACCGGATACCTTAGAGCCACCTGTCCTCTTGTATTACCGCTTGACGAACTTCTACCAGAACCATCGGAGATACGTAAAATCCATGGATACAGACCAACTGAAAGGGAAAGCAGTTGACAATGGCACCATAGATGGCGGCTCTTGTGACCCTCTCAAGCTCGATCCTACAACTGGCAAAGCATATTATCCATGCGGTCTTATCGCTAACTCTCAGTTCAACGATACCATCCGCAGTCCGCAGCTCCTGAGCAGTGGCGTCAGTGCTGAGACGTACAGCATGACCAATAAGGGTATTGCTTGGGACAGTGACAAGCAACTTATAAAAAAGACTCAGTATAATAAGTGGCAGGTTGTTCCTCCGCCCAACTGGCATGATCGCTACCCAAACGGATATGAGGACGGAATTCCTGACCTCCATGAGGACGAGGAATTCATGGTTTGGATGCGAACTGCAGCGTTGCCGGCTTTCAGCAAGTTATCGCGCCGAAACGATACAACGGCAATGACTGCAGGAAGCTACCAATTGGACATTGAAGACCGTGAGTCTGGAAATCAAGTGGGTGTCAAGGTCAGTGCTAACCGCTTGTAGGTTTCCCTGTCACCGAGTATGGGGGTACAAAGTCAATACTCATATCTACTCGAACGGTGATGGGAGGCCAAAACCCGTTCATGGGAATTGCATATGTTGTCGTTGGCGGTCTTTGTATCGTTCTCGGAGCATTGTTTACCATTGCGCATTTAGTTCGACCTAGGTAAGGGGTATTGATGAATGCTTTGTTTGTGCCGAGACTAATTTAATAGGAAACTTGGCGATCACACTTACTTGACTTGGAACAACGAGCAAGAAAGTACGGCTGTGTCGACTGGACGAGATGGCAGATTTAGCTCCAATGCTCCTTAGACAACTTCTGCACTTTCAACAATGCTAGTTCCGACCCCGCTCTGTTTGGTAGCTAGAACCAGTCTACTGAACCAATGAACTATCAAAAGGCGTCTGCAGGTGGCGTTTTCACAGGGTCTGATTATAGGTACTGGTGTTGTGGATTTCTACTTGTTCCCATATTCTTTAATCCCTTTTCTTTCTCTCTTTCTTTTTTAAAAAAATATCATAAAAATCGACTACACAAGTTGATCAAGATACATTTGCTAATGTGAGCCTGTTTTGGATTAAGTGTTATCTATGTCTATAGAGTGAACGCGTTTACCCCTTGTTGGGACGGTCCCTGGGTATGCAGCATTCCTGACACGACTGGTTTTGTTTGGGGCATTTTCAAATTCCACGTAGCGATTGGCGACAACTTCTTCAGCCTTAAATCCATTCCCGCTATCCTTTTGCTCGGGTCCAATGGAAAAGTCTCAGTGCCAGAAATCATCATGATGCTGCTATTCAACCTCCAAACACTTCTGGCGATCATCCTTATTTCCAATCTCCCGGTCCAATGCAGCGCACTACTCGCACAGCGTGGATTTTGTGCTACGGCAGGGCCTGATGGGTCACTCAGGGCAGAGCACAGGAGGTTAAATGACTTAGAGTCTCAGCATGAGACTGCACATGAGGATAACCGGGAGGCAGTCAGCTCAATTGAAATCGAAACATGGTTCCATATCGTAAGCAGCAACGGAGCGGCAAACACGGTATCAGACGAAATGATAACTAGCCAGGTTAGTCGTACCAAACCCATGGCCGTTGCGATATTGTCATGCCGAGGGTTCCTAACATGATGAAACCTTCTAGCTATCGTATCTTCAGAAAGCGTACCAAAGTGCCACTATATCATATCGACTGGAGGGTGTCACTCGCCAGGTTAACGATTCGTGGGCGCGCAATGATGATGAGCTAGGAATGAAGAATGCTCTACGAAGGGGAAACTACAGCACTCTGAATGTCTATTTCCAAACAGACCTCCAGGAGTCATCGGATGGTGCCTCCCGGGCTACTCGCGAGGTTGACAATGCACGGACAGATGTATCGGACCAGTCGTCGAATGTCCTTGGCTTTTGTACTTTGCCTGATCCGAGTGTGAATGCCAGCAGTCCTCGCTCTAGCTACATTAAGGATGGCTGTAATGTCCTCGCGGAGACTATGCCTGGTGGTAGTTTAACGCAATATAACCAAGGTGGCACCGCGGTTCATGAGATTGGCCATTGGAATGGGCTGCTGCATACATTCGAGGGTGAATCATGCTCTGCTGATAATGAGGGTGATTATATTGATGACACACCCGAGCAATCTGAACCAACAAACGGGTGTCCTGCTGAGAAAGACTCCTGCCCGGATCTTCCTGGCCTTGATGCAATACATAACTTCATGGATTATTCATCTGATGACTGTTATGAAAACTTCACGCCTGATCAAGCTCAGAGGATGAGGAGTATGTGGTTTGCTATGCGAGAAGGGAAGTGAGGTCCTATGTGTTATTTATGTTTATGCACATATATGCTGTTATCAGATAGGTGGAAACAAACACAACAAGAATCGGCCGTAGAACAATCATCCGTCGACGTTAGCAATTTGCATTTGAGAATTCTTGTACAACCCGGGCCGTTTGATGATGACTTTAATAAAAGTAAACCCTAATGATTAAAAGTTGTCGGGCAGAATGCTAGATCATCTCTTGCGCTTTTTCCCACGATCTTCATCTTCCAGGCCGCTTTCCCTGTCCTTTTTCTTTGCCTTCAGTTCAAGTTCATCCCAGTCTTCACCACTGTCTTCGTCGGCACTGAAATCGTCGCTTTCCTCCGCACTAGCATCATCATCAAACTCGCTGTCGTCTTCTGAACTCTCGTCGGCCGCTGCAAGCTCCGATTCGGAAAGCTCAAATGCGGACTCTTCATCTTCATCTGATCCGCCCTCCGAGTCCGACTCTGCAGCCAAGAATGACCAACCCCCATCAGCGAAGAACCCGTAGGGGTCACTTACAACTGTTTTCATGATCGTTGTCCAGTTCAAGTTTAGCGGTCCCTCTGTAAACGCAATGTCAACAGAATCCAACCAATCCTTAACCCCCTCCAGTGATTCAACAGGGATTGTATTGATATGCACAGGTGCCCGGTGGAAATCTTTCAAAACGAACACCAGGTCAAAGTTTTTCAACCCAAACTACAGTTGCGTTAGTAGAAGTAAGAACGTGAAGATAAGGTCGATAATTACCTGGACTCGCTCCAAGTGAGCAATCTCCACCTCATTCAAGGTGATCACCAGAAATGGTGGCTCTGTCAATTGTACGAGAGCATCTGTTGTGGGCTGAATCAAAACATTGGAGCGATTTGGGACACCAGTAAAGCCGATTTCCCTAAATGGGATGTCAACATCCACACCTTCGTCTTTTCCGGCATCTGCAATTTTCTCGGCGAAAGCCTTGAACTCCCGATCCAGAGCTGCTCTTCGTCGTCTTTCCTCCTGCTCGGCTTCGAACTCCTCTTCATCCCCGTAGCGGTGTTTGCGCCTACGATTGCCGGTTTCATCGAACTGCATTTCAGTGGCTTCCCTATAGAATTGAACATCTCTGGTCTTCCTTTTCCCTATCATGATAGGTGTTTTCAGATGAACATGGATCAGTACAATCAACTCATGAGCGCAAGGTTGAAAAAACAAGTGCTTCACGTTGCTGAACAAAACATCCACATGTTCATTTCGAAAAGGCGACATATAACGAAGACCATTTTGATGGATCTCCACTTCCCCTGGAACTCGTTTACCATCTAGAGGAGGCCGAAGATACACATCGGGCAGCTTGACAGGACGACGATCTATGCAGGTTAGCAACTGTAAACTAGCAAGGTTAAGTGGCGATACTTACTCCTTATTTCAATCAACTTGTCCTGTTCTACCACGTCTTCCATTTCCTTCTTTTCTTGTTCGCGTCGCAAAGCATTCTTTCGTAGTTCTGTGATGTCTTGGGCGATTTGGGCAAGTCGGCCATTGTCTTTGGACCGGAGTGTCAAGTTGCGCAGAAAATGCGCTGAAAGGTCTTCAAAAGGCTGATCATCCTTTCGACCAACGCCTTGACCTGGTGAAAGGAAATTGATGCGGAGGTAGGCATACTCTCCCTCGTCACTTTTGCTAGCATTTTTGATCGTGTTGATATGGAAGGGTACTGGCCGACCCATGATGGGCACGATAACAGTTGAAGCCTTCTGGTCTACATAAACAGTCAGGTCCTTCACTCTCGTCGGCAGTTGGTTGTCTCTCTTATAAGACTCGAATCTCTTGAACTTCTTCTGCGTGACGCCGTTGTCGTCCCCTGTGGTGCCAGCAAACCGGTCTAGACCCTCCTTAGTCTTTTTGCCAGCCAACTCCTTTTGGTGTTCACGTCGCCGTGCCTCAGCACCTTCATTGATTTGAGTAGGGCGTTCAGCACGGAGCTTCGTTCTTGTAACATTTCTGTTGGCAACGGCACTGGATTTTGCTTCCTTCTTCTCCTTGACGGGTTTTTGAGGCTCCTCTTCGTCGCCAAAATAAAATGATACCGAGTCCATGTCCACACCGGCGTCTTTCGTGAATACCAGAGGCCCAGTTTCCCCAACACGAACAGTGTCTGTGATGACCATTGAATAAACAGTCCTTTTCTTGTCCTTGATGTTCGGGTCTTCAACATCTGTCAACCCAACTGTAATAGCGAAGGTCATTCCACTCTTCAAGATCTTGTCATTCTTCCCGTTGAGCACCATATTGGCGTCTCGGAGCTCGATACCTATACCTGCACCGACAGCCTTCAGGAAATGAGCTTCAAGCTCCGGTCGTTTAGTTCGAATCAGGCCAATCGCCTTGCTGTACAGGTCCTTGGCCGTAGTCCCGTCACGAACCTCTTTAATGATGGCTTCGCGAACGTTTAGTAAGAAGGCGTAATTTGCCTCCTGGGACTTAGTCGGGTCTACCAGGTAGGTGCGAGCGATCAACGAACTATAAGTCCTATAACGGATTCCAAAGCCAGCGATGATTATTCCCGGTTGCAGGTTGTTGTTGTCCGAGACCGCAGTTAGCTTGAGATCATATTTCCCCCCACTTTGTATCACAGGTCCATAGGCCCAATCGATCTGTTGAGGGTCAAACTCAGCGGGTAACTTTGCCAGCTTGTTGAAGAATTTAGCATCGTCTATCTTCGCATCGATACGCATCGAAAGAGCTTTGTGGCTCATCTGCTTCTCTTCATCAAGCAGGCGGGACATCTCATCAACAAAATACTCAGACATCAGACCACTGCATGCCCGCGACGCATTTCGTATCGATACCTTCATGGTCTGGGTCAGTCCAGCATCATCTTAAAGGTTGGTGAACATACTAATTCATCAGTATCCTTGACTGAGAGTGCAGCAGAAAGAGCAGACGAAATGTCGACCTCTTCTACTTCTTTTGACAACACTGAATAAGCCCTCCTCCAATCCTCAGCAAAAGGGCCTGCCGTTGTGTCTCTTGGTAGGACACCAACTTTTTTCTTCGTGTCGCTAGTTAGTTTTCATGCAGTATCAAATTATGACCCCCGTTTACGGAGAAAATACTCACACCGGCACTTTTGACGACCTCGATACATTTTTCAAATGATTTCATCTTCTCCTCGGGATCTTTGGAAGTCACCAATATCTCCACCGGAATCTTGCCGCCCTTCAAGGGTTCAAGATGCTTGGCTGTGGGTTTAAAATATCCGTCAGCCAGGCAAGAAACCGACGCCAGTTATATGATATTGACTTAGATATTACCTTTTTTCGCTGTAGTCACGACATACACCACTTCTGTTGTAAAAACTAAGAGCGTAGCAGGGAACTCGTAGCCAAGCAGCCAGAACTAGGAGAGATACTAGGTGAGCTAAAGAAAGGACTTGAGGTCGCTGAAAACCTTACATGCATTGCATTGTTTTTCTGAAAGCTGTTCGCCTCATCGGTCTTTCCCATTAGAATGACGATTGACGAGACACCACCAAAAATAGCATGACTCGATCGTTTATCTGCTTTCCATGCGTTATAGAAGCTTGATAATCGATTGAAAAAAGTAGTTTTGTCTATCACGATTTCTTCGGCCATGATGTGAATGTGCCGATAGTAACAGCTCGACGGATTATTGAGATAACTCCGACGTCCGCAGAAAGCCCAGGAGAAACCTTCAAATGTTAAGGATAAGAGCGATAGAACGTCGAAGGGCAAGGATTTGCAATGAGAGAAGCTCTATGTTGGGCTCACAGGTAGGCTGATAGGAGAAGGCTTCCTACAGAGGATCTGAATTTGAGCGATAAATGAGAGTAATTGAGTTTCATTTGTCGCCTCCTACTTCTTAGAAGAAATTAAGATGAGGTAGCGCAAACGCGAAACCCCGAAGACGCGTTTCGCTCAAGTGTTCCTGACAAATCAGCAGTGTTTGAGCTGTTTGCTCCAGATATAATCATTCATGCCTTACTCCGTACCAAGGCCAAATTATTATTTCTCCTAATCCATTCTTTCCATGTTTCAGTCACGTTTCTCTTCTATTGGGTCCCTTTTAAAAGCAGTCACTTTTTACTGATCGTTATATTCACTCACTTTATTACCATACAAGTTCATCCGCATTCAGTGTATAATGTGCTTCAAGTCAAGACCTATTCCATAAGTCTCGAAGAGCCGACTAGCAATGCTTTCAGTCTAAGCGCCATGCTTTTATTTGTATCTAATAAGCCAGCACACTATTAGACGATTTCTCACACAGCTCATCATGGCAGCTAATCAAGCACTATCTGCCTTTGATCAAAGTTCAAGCCTAGACCCTGGGAATTCTCCGCGCAGGAATCCGCGACAGAATGCAGCTACTGCAGCCTCCGCTGCTGGGGTTCGTGCTCTCAGTGCTCAACTGGTTGCATTCTACTTCAGGGCACCTATCAAGGCATTCTTTCGCACCCGAGTTGAGTATGCTTTCTAGTCTTCTTATCAACTTTCAAATTATTTCCCCTCACTGACAGGTCATCATCTTATCCAGTTATATGGTATGTCGTCGATCACTGCTCGATCTAGTTGCACTGCTCTTTCAAATCCCTCTCGACTGATGCTTACGGATATTCTTGCCCTTTCGGCAGGCCTTTGCTAGGGCCGTAAATCCTCATTCTACAAAACCGGGTTGGTCTTTACACACAACCACACCAGGATTGCTTGTCCATGCAGTTCGCACATATGGATGGCAATTCATTCCTAATCAAGTCATGCCCCCTCTCCTAGCAAATGCCGGGTGGGTCTATCCAGCCTTTTGATTTGGTTGCATGGATCATCTAACTCCTACGGGCAGAGTTGGTGCCGTCCTTTATACGTCATATCTTCAAGTCCTTGGTGCCTTGTACGAGCCAGTGTCTCACGGGATCAAACGTGTATACCCACCTCCTCCCCCTTCGAGTACATTTGCAGCCGGCTTCATAGCTGGCACGATTCAGTCAATAGTAGCTGCTCCTTTGGACGCTCTTCAGGTTCGTCTTCGTGCCAATGACTTGCTTGAAGGCCCATACAAGAGTATGTGGCACTATGGCCGCCACAAACTCAACCAGATTGGGGTTCGTGGTATCTTTGCAGGCTGGAGCTTGTCATTCACGCGCGATGCCTTTGGCTATGCAGTCTTTTTTTCCTTCTTCGAGTTCATAAAGTCGCAAGCCTACTATTCCTTTCTCACCTGGTACTACGGCTCACGGTGCACTTATTACATGGATAGGTCGCAGTACATCCAATCAAGTGATCGAGGAGTACCGCTTATTAGACCTCATTATGCTCTGGAACCATGCTTTCTGATGGCTGCCGGTGTTGCTGCGTCAGTGGCTCAACAAAGCATACAACACCCGTTAAGTGCTATACAGAACCTCCACGTTGCTCGCTTGGAATATCTTGATCACCAAGCAAGTTTTCACCCTTCAAGGCGGGAGATGCTACGCTTGTACTACTCTGCGTACCAGGAAACGTACAAACGGTGCAAAAAAAAGGCGTACAGGGGGGGTGGCTGGGGTCGCTGGCTATTTCGCGGGTTCGTAAAGGATGCTATTCGTCAGGTGCCCAGCACAAGTGCTGGGCTAGTGATCTTTGAGGTGGTACGGCGTAAATACGCTAATATGGCAGACGCTGTATACATTCAAAAAGATGGCTATGATATTCTCTTAACATGACGAACGCATTGAAAATATACCCTCTTTCTTGGACGCTTTGCCGACCGCTTGAATTAACTGGCTGCCGAAGAGTTTCCAAGGAAGTATCTCGGTAGATAACAGAATACGCTGTGAATAAATAATGACCACGCCCTTATGGCAAATATATTGTCTCCTGTTGTTCAAGAAACACACTTCGGAAGGCAAAGCGCTACAACGTTAAGAAGAAGAGAGTATTCCTACTAGTATGGCATATTGTATCAAGAGGAAAGTGAGAGTGGCGAATTGACAAGTTTCGGTGACAATACTTCCGACGAAATCAACCACTTTTGTTATGACCATCTCTGCCCGACTTGTGTACAACTTGGTTAAATGAGAATGGCCTTTAATCGTCAATTATATGCAAATCCCTTGATGGTCCCCGGAATAAAGAAAGTTAACCTACTCAGATATACTTAGGCCTGGGTAGTGGTAGTAGTACTAATCAACAAAACTAACAGGTGGGGTAAGTCCTTACTATGTAGTGCTACATAGTACTAGTATGCTACGGTACAGGCCTACCCCACATAGGTAGAGTGTACAACGATACAGAGTAAAGAAAGCTGCTTATAGTCAGATACTAGATATGTACATACACGGTGGATATGCTTTCATGTGAATAGAAATAGTCTAGAACTTATTCCATTAAGGCAAGTAGGTAGCCAGCCCGGAGTATATATTAGGGCCCTTCTGCGATTATACTATGTAATTGTAGAACCCCATGTTCCCTTTCAGGCTAGCCCCGGCCTAAACAGAAAGCGGTCCGTTGCTTACATCATCCGATTGTTACGGACCCCTGCTAGCTGAACGAACTAGTAAGGCGGACTCGTTAGGCAGAAGGCGACGTCCGGAAGGCAAGGACTCTTATCAAGTAGAATCCCGATCTGAGTAACCTACAAACCGGGACGGTTACACAACACGTGACCACAACGGACATGTTACTGACACGCTATAACATGACAGCACTACAACAGAACATAACAGCACTATGACAGGACATGGCAGCGCTACAATATAACATATCAGTAATATAATATATCATGGCGATACCATGATAAAGGATAGAATATAAGGACACTCTCTCATATATTTAGTTAGTTCTGTTCTTCATGCTCAATACTACTGTCTTTAAGTAACCATATGTTTAGTAAAGCTTAGTGACAATACTTATCTGTACTTACTTACGGATAGCTGCACGGTACTATCTGGCCTTACTTCTCTTCTTCTATTTAAAACCAGTTCTCTTTAGATAATCATTAACCTGACTTACCTTAATTCAGTTCAAAGATACGCCTTGAAATAGAAGCTAAGCTAATAGGAACAGGAAGAAGCGATCCTAGGATTTGATATATTGAGCACCAATTAGTACGAGTATTACCCAGTAATAATCATTCATTATATTAACTATATTGAACTCATCGCGCGCCCTACAGCAGCAGGGCCTGATAATACAAAAACTAATAAGTATGGTTAATCAGTTACAAGAAAGTATTACTATCTTAGAATGATAAAATCAGTTACTTGAAGGTTGCTTAGCAGTTAAATCTATTAAGGTCTGACTATCTGAGCCATTTAATAGCAATTAAGCAAAGCTCAGGGCTTTCTTGACCCAGTTAGATCTGTATCTTAACATGAATAAGAAAAAGCTCAAGAATAAGGAAGACAAGATCTTTTTTATGTCTACTTACCTGACTGGGATGATATTTAATTAGTTTAAACCATATATCCACAAATAATAAGAGAAGTTAATAAGTAACCAGGATAATAATATAATATGACTCTTTATTAGTTATACCAGATTTAAACAGTGTCTTAAATAGATATTTGGAGATATTAATGCGGTATAAATTATTAAGTAAAAGTTATAATGATTTAAGTAGACTGGATTGATATCTAAATATACTTTAGAGTTTTTATAAGTCATTAGTTATTTAGATTAGGATAATAACACCTACATCACATGATTTGAAGAAGGACTCAAGATAGAGATTTAAGAGAAACTTATCTAGTAAAAATAACTAGACATATTATTAAAGATGATTAAAGCAGCAGTCAAGATTAATAATAAATTATATAAATATAACATGAAATAATGAAAGGATTAATAAACCAGTGAGTCTATACCTTGATAAAACAACTAATCAGATTACCGAGCTAATAATAAAAGATCAGTATAATCTAGAAGCTTGGGATACAAAGATTCCTACAGATTAAAACTAATAGAGCTAGATATAGCACAGCATTAGACTCAACAGACTTAAATATCTAAAAAGGAACTTGAATAATATAAACAAGACTGCTTGTACTTTAGCTGCAGCAAAGCAGATTATTAGTTAAAAAACTATAGTCAAAAACAGTAACAGTCTCAGAAATAGTTAAAAGCTATAAACCAAGATTAAGGCAGAGGAGTCTATAATATTACTATTATTTAATATAAAGTTTAGATGGAATCCGTGATACAGATACTAGATAATAAGAAGTTATATATTATTCAGCATGGTTAGCTATCAGAGAATAGGATGTACTGTGATTAGTTGAGATAACAGGCCATTATAGATAAGCTAACAGTACCATCTAGTTAATAAGAAGATTAATGATTGTCTGTACTATTAGTTTGGATTATAGAAGTTAATAATAATAGTTATAAGCCAGTTTTAAGAAATAATTATCCCAGTATAGTTTGGAATGAAGATGAATCTTTAAATAAAGAATATAATATACTATTTAAAGATTTTAAATCTAGTAAGAAGAGATTCAGTAAGATACCTGATACTCTGAAAAAACCTTTATTAAAAATTAGTAAATCTTGTTTATCACAGTAAGATAAGGATAAGAAGAACTAGAAGAATGATCAAGAAAATATTGTTTATTAGTTAGACTGTATCTTGAAAAAGATCTTAAAGAATCTAACATAATTCTGTCTAGAGCTTAAAATAATTATGCAGCATTGCTTACATTGGAATTTAGAATGTTGAAAATCATGAAATAAGACTTGAAAATAATATCTATAAAGATATTCTTATTATCTAAAAGTTTGCTTAACATATAGACAAGATAACATAGACTATTATTATTAGTTATTAAAGATTAATTAGAAGATAAATGTTATTGGAACAGAGTCTTAATATAATAAACTATATCTATATATTTATTTTAAAGAAAGTAGAGATTATTAAAAATATAATGAATTTTTTTGGCTTATATATTACATGAATATATGCTTAATATATTATAATTAAAAATATATTATTAATTATTAATCTAAGATACTGGAAGTAATTAAGACTAAGATAAGTCACTGTTTATACTCTATCTTTGATTATGCGTGTAAAGAGTACCAGAGATATTCTTACTATAGATCAATATATTAGCTAACATGTTTTAATGATTAGTATATAATATACTATACAGTAAAGATAGAAGGCTTAAGATTTTTAAGAAGATATTTATGATAGTTAACACCTAATTAATCAGAATAATAATTAATAATTATAGAGTCAGGGCCACATCTAAAAATCTAAGTAATTATATTAAATTAACTAACCCAAGTATTGATAAATTCTGAAGTAATTAAAAACTTTATAAATCCATGATTCATATAATAGCTTAAGATACTTAGATAATAAAAAGCAGAATCTGAACTAATTATAGAATTAAACAGAGAGAATTTAAAAACTCTTGTATTAATAGTTAAGTTAAGAACTATATTTATAACTATAAAGGATCACTATAAGTATATAAACTTTAATATAATATCTTTAAAATAGTATAATATTATATTAAAGATTCTATAATTCAGGAATTATAATCCACAGATTAATTAAAAGACTGAGAATCTTTAATTCATGAATTATGATTACCTAAGATAATACCAGCAAGGACTAGATATAGAATCTAGATCTATACAGCCTATTATATAATAAGAAGCTGAAGCGAAGACTAAATAACTTATTAAAAAGAAGTTAAGAACGCTATAAAAGCCTAACACACCAGGTATTAAAGATAACTTAAAAAAAAATAATACTTCAAGTATAGTCATACAAGTAATAACAGTAATCAAGCTATTATAAAGAAATTAATTTATAGAATTATTAAAATAGATATTAATAATAATAAATAAGTACTGAGAGTATAGTACTAACAGTACTAATATAGAGATTAAGATAACTATCTAAGAAATAAAAGATTTATAAAAACTTCTAGCTATAATTAAGAGTAATACACAGATCCCATTATAGTATGAGAGATTTAAGGATTTGTTCAAGCAGTCAGAATAATCTGAATTATCTTAGCATAAAAAATATGACCATATTATCCTTATAAAGAAAGAAAAGTCACCGGTATACAGAAAAATTTATTTAATATTTAAGAAAGAATTACAGATATTATAAGAATATATTAATAAATAACTGGCTAAAGATAATATCAGGCCTTCAAAATCACTAGCAGGATATAGAGTCTTATTTATACTAAAAAAGGATAGTAATTTACAGCTATACATGGATTATTAGCCACTAAATATTATTATGATCAAGGATTAACACTCGTTATCTTTGATTTTGGAAATCCAAGATAAGATATAAGAAATAAAGTGATTTACTAAACTTAATATTATAAATATATATTATTATATATATATTATAGAAGATAAAAAATAAAAAACCATATTTAGAATAAAGTACAGATACTTTAAGTACTTGATTATGTTATTTAAGCTTATTAATACACCAGCATCATTTTAATAATATATTAATAAGATTCTTGGAGAATATCTTGATAGGTTTATAATTATTTATTTAAATAATATATTAATCTTCTTAAAGACTGAGAAAGAATATGTGAGATATATAAGACTAATTCTATATAAACTATGCCTATATTAGTTATAATATAAGCTAAAGAAGTATAAATTCTATATATAAAAAACAAAGTTTCTAGAATACTAGATATCTACAGAGAGAATCTATACTAAGTAAGCTAAAGTATAAGTTATACAGGATTAGTCTTAATCTAAGAATCTGAAAAAACTACAGTAGTTTATCAGATTAGTTAACTATTATTAATAATTTATGGATGGATATACTATCTATATAATATTATTCTTCAAGCTTATAAAAAAGTTGAAGAAGTACTAGTAAAAAGAACCACAGTAAAGCATATTTAAAGATATTAAGCAGTGATTTATTATATTATTAATACTTATACAGCATGATCTAGAAAAAAAAATAATCATTAAGACTGATATATCAGATTATACTAT